ATGATGATGATGATGATGGTGTTGATGATGATGGTGATGATGATGATGATGATGATGATGATGATGATGATGATGATGATGATGATGATGATGATGATGATGATGATGATGATGATGATGATGATGATGATGATGATGATGATGATGATGATGATGATGATGATGATGATGATGATGAGGATGAGGATGAGGATGAGGATGAGGATGAGGATGAGGATGAGGATGAGGATGAGGATGAGGATGAGGATGAGGATGAGGATGAGGATGAGGATGAGGATGAGGATGAGGATGAGGATGAGGATGAGGATGAGGATGAGGATGAGGATGAGGAGGAGGAGGAGGAGGAGGAGGAGGAGGAGGAGCAGCAGGAGCTGCCTAGCCGAGGCCCGAGGCGGATGAACATGAGGGTAAAGAGGATCAGAGCGTTATGAGTTGAGGTGCGCTAAGGAGCGGAGCGGCTTCCGATGCTTCCGATGCTTCTCATGCTGCTCATCCTGCTCATGCTGCTCATGCTGATGATGGTGACGATGGCGACGATGATAAGCTGGAGGAGGAGGAGGAGGAGGAGGAGGAGGGGGAGGAGGAGGAGGAGGAGGAGGAGGAGGAGGAGGAGGAGGAGGAGGAGAGATTGCCCCGACCAGAGGAGCAGCGCATGGAGCAGCGCAAGGCCTTTCCGCCGTACTCGCCGCCGCGCCCCGCCGTCCCCCTCGTGCCCTTCTCCTCCTATTCCTGCTCCTCTTGCTCCTCCTCCTCCTCCTCTCCCTCCTCATCCTCCTCGTCTTTCTTCTCCTCCTCCTCCTCATTTTCCTCCTCTCTCACTCCTCCTCGTCCTCCTCCGTCCTTCCCTTTTCTCGTCATGTCCCTGCTCCTGCTCCTGCTCCTGATCCTGCTCCTGCTCCTGCTGCGGCCGCAAGCCTGGCCGACCAGGCGCTCCGCTCATAGGGGAGACGAACCGTCCAGCGTGCGCCCTGGCAGACCCCGGCGATACGGCCGGGGGGCCGCCGGGGTGCGCCGAGGGGCGTCGCCTTCCAAAGCGGCAGACGAAACCGCGGAGGAGCCCTCCACTGGCCCTCCACAAATCCTGCCCTCCTTCGTTTGGGGCCGGCGCGCGGTTCTTTCGGGGCGGCGTGCTCGCCTCTGGCTCCTCCGCGGCCTCCCCGCCTACGCAGCGCCTGCTCGCTGTCTTAGTCCTCTGGAGCCCTCGTCGCCACATCCGCTCCCCAGGCTCCGCCTGTTCGCTTCCTCCTCCTCCTCCTCTTCCTTCCTCCTCCTCCTCCTCCTCCTCCTCCTCCTCCTCCTCTCCACAGGACGGTCAAGACTTAACCGTCAGGTGAGTTCGTGGCGTTGGGGTCCCGAGAATGTTTTTTTTGACACGCTTCAGGTTCTTCAAACGGTTATCTCACAACGGGTGGTTCCTTCAGTGCAAACGAATCTTTGTATGGTGTCTATAAAGAGGGAGCTTGGCGGGAGGATTTGTTCCAACATCGATAATGGGTCTTGGGTTTATGTTGGTCCTCCTCCTCCTCCTCCTCCTCCGCCGCCGCCGCAACGCCCGCCGCCTCTTCCTGCGTCGGGGTTAAGCGGTACCAGGGCGCGGCGTCATCGTCACTTCCGCGGCGCATTCGTCGCATCTTCCGCTCCTCGGTATCCTCCTGCTACGCCGCCGCCGCCGCCGACACCTTTTTCATATTTTTCTTCTTATTATTTTTCTTTTCTCCATCTCCTCGTCTGCCTCCTCCTCTTCCTCCTCCTCTGCCTCCTCCTCTGCCTTCTTCTCCCCTTTGCCTCCTCCTTCTCCTCCTCCTGTACCTACTCCTCCCGCTCCTCCTCCTCCTCCTCGTCATTTCTCTCTGCCCTGAAGCCGGCCGCCTCCCCCAATGGGCCTAACCTGCGCATCCTGCCAGAGAAGGCAAATCCTGGCGGACACAGGCACTCGCAACGCGCCAGGTGACCGAAGCCTGCATGGCGGTGCTGATCTGCTGGAGGCCAGCCGCCAGCGCGGATACTCGCGTCTCGCCACCTGCCATGACGGCCAGCATGCGGACGGTCGCCTGCGCGCTCTCGTCCAGGCGGACCCCAGCTCAAGTACGCACGGGGAGATGTTGAGCCCCGCCTAGCGCTGCCGCTGGTTCATCTTCTCCGCCGCCGCGGCTCCGTCCAGGCTGCTGGCTAGCAGCTGCTCGGATCCGGGGCAGTTGGTGCGGGCGAGTGCCACGGCAACGTCAATGGCCACGCGCCTGCCATCGTAGTTGATGACGACGTCCAACGCGTCCCCAGCCTCGTCGTCCACCGCCGCGTCCTCCAAGGCCTGCCCCCGCAAGCTCTCGATCCGCTGCAGCTCCTCCTGCTCCTCCCCCCGGGTTTGAGCTTGGCTCGCAAGGTGGTTGTAGCATGGGAAGCCGAGGGCACCCGCGGGTGTGCGAAGGTAACCGCGCCTCGCGCCTCGCGCGTCGCGGCCTGGGCGGCGGCGCGATGGCGCGCAGGTGATCGCGCGTCGCGCACTGTGAGGCGCGATGCGTGGAGTGAGGTGACCCAGGGAAGCCTCAGGCAAGCCTTTGCAATGAGCGAAAGTAGTTCTCCGACAGAAGGCGACCTTCCAGCCTGCCCTCCCTCTCGCCCTCCCTCCTTGTCCTCTTTTCCCCCTCGCTCCTCCTCCCTTGCAGCGTCCGCTTCGATTCGAGTCATCCGTTTAGACTTTGATTCCGACAAGCCCCATCCGTTTCGGTTTCGATATCACGATGATGCTTGCAAGGCGCTGTTGTGCATCCTGGCACGACCGATCCGATCCTATCCGACTCCGTGCGGAGGCGGCACGATCCGACGCACTTCCCGATCGGATCCGATCCGATCTTCCGGGTACTGCCTGGTCCCGCCTCCGCCCTTGTCTGCCTCTCTCCCGCCGGCAAGGTAGGAAAAGGAAATGGCCGGCAAGGTAGGAAAAGGAAAAGGCAGAGGGAGAAAAAGGGAGTGAATGAATGAATGAGCTCATGGAAGCCTGTCAATAGAAGCCACCTTGCACTATTACGCTACAAAGAGTTAACTGATTCTGAAGCAATGTTCGGATTCTGAGAATGTTCCCTCCGAATGCCACCAACAGAAACAGAGTAGCCAGTCCTCCACCGTGCTTTGAACCAGGCGGAGGGTAAGGAGGAGGAGGAGGATGACGAGGAGGAGGAGGAGGAAGAGGACTGGAGGAGGAGGAAGAGGACTACTAGTGTAAAGTCAAGACGCGTCAACGATGTTGCACTACACCTTTCTTCCAGGTTTCCTCTCCAGAAGTCCCTACAGTAATTTCTTTTCACCGCTGGCAGCGCCCCATTGGTACACAACCGTCGGTGAATCGTCAAAAGTGTAAAAACTCCACTCCTTGAATTTCAACGCCGCGAATTAACTTTACTGTTGCGTCCTTGCTATTCCGCATCGTGCCAAAGCACCATTGTTGGGACTTCTTAATGGAAATCAACATGATTATTGCCCGAGAGGCCTCCAAGAGGCCCCCAAGCGGCCTCAAGCAGCATCCAGAAGGCCGGAAAGAGGCCCCCAAGAGCTCAGCGGTCCAGGCGGATGGCGGGCTCTCCCATCTGCGGCTGGGTCTGCCCAGGTCCCCATGCGCGAACTGGCGGGCCAATGTCCTCGGCGTGGGCGGCGACGGGCGATGCGCGGGGGCGCCGTGCAGGACGTGGCTCGGCAGCCCGGGGAAAGGGCGCCTCGGGCTGGAGATTTTCCACGGGCTGGGAGGCATGAAGCTGGCCAGCCACGGCCGTCAGCACCGGGAGTGCCACGTCGACGTGGCCATGCCATCGACGCTTTCAGGAGGAAGCTGCTGCAGAAGTGCCCAGACTGCGACCTCCTGGGCGACGCGGAGGTGCGCGAGTGGGCCGGGCGCAGACGCGACGGAGCATCTGGCGGTCAGCCACCCGTGTCTGGCCCCTCCTTCGCGGGCCCCGCGCCGCTGACCGTGCGGAGGACGGGCGGTCTTGTGGCTGTGGTCGGCGGCGCCAGCGCATGTTCTTTGGGGCGTGCGCCGCCGAGTTGCTGGCTGGGCCCCCAGGGGTGTCTCAAGAGCGTGAAGGTTGCCATCGAGAAAGACGCGGGCCCGGTAGCGCCCGAGCGGGCCGACGCATCTGCTGTGGAGACTCGTTGCTGGCACCGACGCCTTACTTTTCGACGAGGGGCGCGTCCTGTCGGTGGGGCGCCACGTCAGGAGCATCCTGGATGAGTCAGGTTTCCCAACGGAGAGGTCTGCTCGTGATCGCGATCAGCCGGTCGAGGTGCGGCCGTTTCAAGGTCTGATGCGGGCTGCTTGTGGCCCGGATGCTGACGTCGCGGGCGCGCCCGCCTGGGGGGGCCCGATAGGCGTCGGGCCCCCCGTGCCGCGAACGCCCGAGGTCTTCGAGCCGAAGACGCGATGGCCGCTCGTGCCGCAGAGGGCCGAGGACGCGCGCGAGGTCGACGCCTTCCCCGCCCCGCTCGAGGAGCGAAGCAGCCGCTGGTCGGCTCGCCAGCGCGCCACGGAGCCCAAAGAGTTTTGGGAGGGCGCCGTCCGGAAGGCCTTCGCCTCCCAGACTTCCCCTGGCAGGAGGCGCGGCGCAGGCTCGGGGATTCCCTCGGGGTCGCGCCGCTGGGCGCCCGGGTGGAGGATCCCGAGATCGCCGCGTCGAGGTTTTGCGACAAGATCGTTTTTTCCCGGAGGCCTTGGGGCGTCGATGGGGTTCCGCAGCGAGGCGCGGGGCGGAGGGCCGTTGGCGCACCGCGTGGAGCTCGACGTCTCAGGCGCGCACCGCGCGGTTGCTGTTCGAGGGTGAGATCGGGCGTGCCGGTGCTGCAGGGCAGAGGATGGTGGAGACGTCTACGCCGACGTCGTCGGGGCCTTCGGTGCGAGCTCGGCGGCGTGATGGTGGGGCCGGCGGGCGACGGCATTGCGTCGTGGAGGGATCCGCACTCTCCCAGGCGACGTGCGTCTGTCGTGGCTCGCCTTTTTCGCGGTTGTTTGGCGGGCCATGGTCTCGGGCGCCGTGCTCTACTTGCAGGTGTTGGGCGTTCTACTGGGCTGGGGGAAGTCTGGCGGCGGCCCGCGGCTCGCCTTCGGCTGCGAGTTGGGCGCTGCGGGGAAACCGTGGTCCCTGGGCATCTCTGAAGCGAGGGCTGCCTGGGTCACTTCCCGCGGCGACCGCGTGCTCCAGGATGGTTTCGTGAGTCTCCGCGAGCGCGAGGAGGCCTTGGGATGGGTGGCGTTCGCGCGCGGCGCCCTCGAGTATGACGTGCCGTTCCTGGGGCCGCTGTGCCGCTTCGTCGCGGTCCGCCGGAGGTCGTCGACGTTTCGTCCACCTCTTCGTTGCCTCCATCTCCGATTCTTGCGGCATTATTTGCAGTGGGGGCGGAACTTGCTTGTCGCAAAGAGGCCCCGCAAGCGGGTGTAGCTCTGCGTGGGTGCGAAGGCGAGCGGGGACATAGTGACGGTCGCAGGTTGGGAGGCCGCGGCGCCGGGAGAGGGCGGCGATCCGCCGTCGACGAAACGAGCCCGTGGGTTCTACATGGAGCTGGACCCACGCGCGGCCCCCCTGGGCTTTCACAATGACGGGGCCCCGTTCTGGTGTATTTTGGTTTTGGAGCTTTCGCTGCCGCGGTCGGTCTGCTCTTGTTCGTTCCCGAGGGCGTGGCGAACTGGGATGGCCGTTGCATTGCTTTGTGTTTCACCGACTCGCAGGTGGCGTCCAGAGTCGTGGAGAAGTTCATGTCCACCAAGCTCGTGTTGTGCGTCGCGGCGATGGAGCTGTCGGCCCAGCAGGAGGCGCGACGTGCCGACTTGGTTTCCGAATGGGCCCCTAGAGGTTTGAATTGCCAAGCCGACGATCTCGCGAACGGCATCCTTGAGAGCTTCGACGACAAGGTGAGGTTCCAGTGGCGCATCAAAAACATGGAGTTCCTGGTCATGGGGCGCATGCTCGACGAGGCGATGGCCGTCAAGGTGGCGTTGGCCAAAGTACCCGTGGAGGTGCATGGCCCTGGCCGCCGAGAGCAGCCCAGGAGGGTAGGAGGGTGCGCAGAAAATTGCGGGAGCGCGGGCGCTGGTGAACGGCCTCTTGGGGACTCCCGCGGGTCGGGGGGGCTTCGTCTGCAATCGTTTGCGAGGACGGTGCGCCGTCACATCATATACATAATTGCGTTCGGTGAAAACTGCGCGGGGGGCGAGGGAGGAGCGAAGCATTGGTCGACGGGGGGGATATTGTTTCTCTCGGAGGACGCCCTGCTACCCCTCCTCCGTGCACAATGCCGGACGGCGCCCCCAGCTGCCGCCGGGCGTTGGTCAAGCGCGGTTCTCCCTCGCGAACGCATGGCGGGCTTGCGGCTTGCGGACGCGAGTCGCTTTGTGGGGCGCTTGGTTGCGTCTGCGCATTCCCCCCGCGGTCGCCAGGGGATTGGGGTGGGTGAGTGCCTGTTCCACCGGGCTCCTTGTGAGTGGGGATTCTTGTGCCAGTGGCAGGACCCCCCGGACGGAGGGCATGCCGTCGGATTGCGTGCGGCACTCCTCCCCGCAAGATGCGAGAGACAAGCGCGTCAGCGTTGCCTCGTCGTCAGGGGCAGCCAGGGCAGGAGCGCAGGGGGAGATCCCCCAGGGGACGCGTCCCATCGGGGTCCCTTGCCAGTGCAGGCGCGCTGCACGGGGCAGCGTGTGGCCCGAGTCGTTGCGTTTTCTCCGTCCTCCTCCTCGTCCTCCTCCCCGTGGGGCGGCGGGCCGCCCAAAAGCTCGAAGTGTTCGGCACGTGTGTGGCAAGGCCGTCGGAAGAGGCTCGCTCTCCGACCCGCGGATCAAAAGAAAAGTGTGGCAAGGCCGCTGGTGACACTCTTGGGGGGGGGTTCACGCGCTGGTGGCAGGCCCCCCCTGGACGAAGGGTGTGCCGTCGGATAGCATCTGGCAGTCATCCCCAGAAGATGCTATAGACAACCGCGTAATGATGCATTGCGTCGTCGTCAGAGTCAGTCAGGGCCAGAGCGCAGGGAGGGATCTCTTCCTCTCTTTCTCCCCCTTCCGAAAATCGTTCATTTCTGTTCCCCTTTCCTTCTCCCTCCTCGCTCCCGCCCCCTTCCTTCGCCCTCTTCGATTCTGCCCCCTCCCCCTCCTCCCCCCTCCTCCTACCGCCTCCCTCGCTCCTCCCTTCGTAGATCTCGCCTTCCTCCCTCCTCCTTGCTCCTCCTCCCATTCCTCCGCCTCCTCCTCTTCCTCCTCGTTCTCCTCCTCATCTCTTTCCTCCGCCTCTTCCGCCTACTCCCTCCGTCAGATCTCTCCTTCCCCCCACCTCTTCTCACCTCCCTCCCTCCTCCTCTTGCCCTTTCTCTCCCTCCGCCTCTTCCTCCTCTTGGCTCTTATCCCCGCCTCCTCCTCCTCGTCCTTCTCCCATCTCCCCCCTCCCCCCGCCAAGGCCCGGGAGGAGGCCGCGCGCCTCGCCGAGGAGCCCTCCCCCCCCGCCGCCCCCGCCGCTGCCGCCGCGTCGTCGTCGT